CAAATTGCCCTATGGGAACCTTGTAATAGAGAGCAGTTTTGGGGGGAGTTTTGTTTGTTTTTTTAGCCCTCAAGTGATTTAGAGTATTATTTCCAGGAATGTGTGCTAAAAGTAGATTCTAGAAGTCACAGTCTTTTATTTCCAATTTCCTCCCATTTTGCAATTGTAAGAGAACTTTGAAGGATGCCACAGTTGTTTTGTTTCAAAATAGAGCAAAGTGGAGAATGTAAAGCAATGAGGCAGTAACTATTTCATAATTAAATCTAAGTCATAAAATGGTCAGTCATGATAAGAATGGAAAATACTGTCCAAACTGCCCAGTTTTATGAGAAATACGGACTTGTTATATAGAAATTCATCCTATAACAACATAATAAAAAATGTTCAGCCTTCTTATATTATCTGTCATTCTTGTGTAAAACATGTTAAATTATCTTAAAAGCAATTTTGTATTAAATTACATATTTTAAAAATAAACATATCACATTGTGAAATTTGCCAGCTGTTAAGAATTTTCTGATCCTTTCAAAAATAAAAATTGATGTTTTGGAACAATTCTTCAATTATCTTTAAGAAGTATTTTTATTTTCTACTGTTTTCTGATTTTTTTTATGATATCTATTTATGCTGTTTCCAAACAGCAGTGGGAATTATTGTTCTGGAGTTACGTTTCAGATAATATGAAAACAGTATTGTTTCAGAGGTTGTTCTCACCATGTGCCAAAGAGACATGAGACAAAGCTGTTTTTAAAACGTATCTTGAGCCTCTTTAGTGGTCAGGTGTTGAGGACACAGTGCTATTAAGCTATCCAGCCACTGCAGCATGAGTTCCATCACCAGAGAGGGAGTGACCCACATGGAGCAGCAGACCTCTCCTATCTTGCCTGCTGCTCCCCTCAGCAGTGTATTTCAGTAGATCTGCCTGCTCTCCTCACCCTGTCTCTGGCGAATTCACTTATCCTCCCCACCACCTCTGGCCTGCACCCCAGCTCTTGTATGTATAAATAAGTAAATCTTAAAAAAAAAACAAAAAACCCTCATCTTATTATTTGGGTGCCAGGTAAAGCAATATGCCAGGGCTGCTGATTACTCAACAGACTACAGCAATGCAGTCAAATAGAATCAAGTGGAACTTTTTTTTTAGGGAACATTTGAGTTTGTTACTTTCTTCCAGTTCATATAATCACCAATAATGATAATAACAACAATAAAACAAATTTGATCCTACTTAGAGTTAGTGTTAAAAATCAAGAAACTGAAGAAAAGGCTCTAAATGCTCCCAGTTCCAGGACACACTGAACTCAAAGGCTGACTTCTTCAGCTCCTATTCCTTCCTATTAAGAACTAGCTTATGGTTAAGATTATTGTGCTCTCAAATAACATTAATGATTGTAAAGCACTGAATAATACTTGTGTTTCAAGGGATGTGAATAATTCTGTTCCCTTAAGGTTATTTAATCAAAGCTCAATGTTGCCTTTTGCAGCCCTGCTAAGGTTATTGTTACTTAGTATGCATCAATAAATAAACTTTCAATTATCTTGGTAAGCACATCCAAAAATCGCATGAGAACAAAAGGCGATGGTGTCCCCAGCAATTGTTCCAAATAAATAATTTTGGTAGATAGGATCTTACTTAATTTCAGATGAAATAGAAATCTATGAAACTTAATTAGTTTGTTAAACTATGCAGAAATACACTGTGACAATGCCTATTTTACTTAAACTAAATATTCCTGTCTTCTGCAGTAATTACAACTTTACCTAAGTCATTTTTTTTGCATATACTGTACAATTGATTAATTTACAAGCAGATAGTTTAAAACAATAGAGGTCAAGGGTTTTCCTTTTACTGTTTTGAAAATCATAACTACAAATTTTGTTTTTCCTATTGGGTATTTTCTTTTTATCATGGCTGTTATGTATGTTAACTGAAAGGTAACTGAAAGGATGCCATATCCCTTAAAGTGTGTGTGTGTGTGTGTGTGTGTGTGTGTGTGTGTGTGTGTGTGTGTGTGTGTGAGAGAGAGAGAGAGAGAGAGAG